AGAGAGAGAGAGAGAGAGAGAGAGAGAGAGAGAGAGAGAGAGAGAGAGAGAGAGAGAGAGAGAGAGAGAGAGAGAGAGAGAGAGAGAGAGAGAACCCTGTGATAGGGAAAACGACAGTGGACACCAAGACAGATTCTATCCAAACCTTTCTAATCTTCCTACTTGATTTATCACATTAATATTCAGCCCGTCGCAGCTGAACTATCTGCTCCTTCCTCTTTATGATAGAATGATAACGATTTTATTCCAGCGATCGCTGCCACCTCTCTCATCCTCTCTCTCTCTCTCTCTCTCTCTCTCTCTCTCTCTCTCTCTCTCTCTCTCTCTCTCTCTCTCTCTCTCTCTCTCTCTCTCTCTCTAAAGCATATCAAAGACTCGCGATACAGTTCCTTTGTGAGAGTGTAAACAGGTACTTCCTCTCATGCTTGCATGAAGTGTTGAACAACAGAGTTGCATAATAGAAAGCTTGCAACAGTAAACCATGCATGAGGTGCAACACTGCGCGAGGGAATAGAATAGAATTATGAGAGGGGGGGGGGGGACGACAAGTCATTACGACTATACAGCACTTGGACAATATATAGTTATATATATATAGTATAGCTATATATGGACTTATATGTACTGCTGGACAATATATAGCCACATGGATACCGACACTGCGTCTCGGTGTCGCACCAGGACCCGGATATGAGAGAGGAAATGCGAGTTCTGTGGTAATGAGAAACCAGATGTGAATGCATGAGGCGGTGAGGAAGAGATGGGTGTGAGCTTTGAGGTTGGCTGCGTGAGCTAACCGCCCCCGGGAATCGAACGCGGAATCCCCGAATGCGAGTCGAGAATGAAGCCCACTGTACCTCGAGACCCAATTACGACAAGTGAGGTGCGACATATTAGCTGGTAAGTGTTGAAATTGACAACACTGAACGTGATCCTGGATACATGATTAGTTGGAATTTAATCCCAAGAATATTGGGAACTGAGAATCATATTTATTTATTTATTTATTTATTTATTTATTTATTTATTTATTTATTTATTTATGAAGGCTTTAGCAACATGGTACATCAACTTAGACAAATCAGAGGCGACAGTCAGCCAGTTAGAGGCAGAGGTCAGCTTGGGCAAAATATGACCAATCGTCGTTGTCACTAATTTGCTTATTTATCGGTATAAAAAGTTGTAATTTAAAACTCCAAATATGTACAATCACCCTGAATTCCGCTCAAAAATAACGCTCAAGGGTCACATTTCCGAGCCGCATCGTATTTTGAAAACTGAGAATAGAGTCTATTCACAGCTTTTTTAATAGACTCTATTTATGTCTATTTGAGAATAGAGGTTACATGTGCAAATGCAAAAACCATTGACTCGGCAGAATACATCTATTCTGCACCACCGGTCCTGCTCAGTGTATTGCAATATTTGCACTCAACAATCTTATTAATATCTATTTTTTGCAACATCTAATTTATTATCTTTCACCTGTTCCTGTTGCTATCATCCAAGGATCATTTATATAAATGTTGTTGTGGTTGGAATCCGGGGGGAACCACTCCTGTGCCAGGTAAGTCCACTACGGGCTCGCCATAGCCCGTGCTACTTGCCCCGCTCCTGTGTCAGGTAAGTCCACTACGGGCTCACCATAGCCCGTGCTACTTGCCCCGCTCCTGTGCCAGGTAAGTCCACTACGGGCTCGCCATAGCCCGTGCTACTTGCCCCACTCCTGTGCCAGGTAAGTCCACTACGGACTCACCATAGCTAGTGCTACTTGCCACGCTCCTGTGCCAGGTAAGTCCACTACGGGCTCATCATAGCCCGTGCTACTTGCCCCGCTCCTGTGCCAGATAAGTTACGGGCTCACCATAGCCCGTGCTACTTGGAACTTGTTCCGAGTAGCTGAATCTATAACAACAACGGTAGGACTCTTCTTGATCTATCAGTTCGCGACGAGACGAACGGCATTTCGGCCACTAATGACGTGTAGGGTGGACAGAAGACCCTTTACACCAGCACTAAGGAATGAGTTCGATTGTTTTCTCAGGGTAAAGTGATTAGATCGATACACCAACCGCCCTCTCAGACCACCTGGATAGTTACTTAACTGTTTGTGATGGTCTAAAAGCATATTACGGTTCCATTAATAGTCTACTGGTAAATAGAGACATGAACATTGGTCCTAAACTGAGAATATTCTCACGTTATAACTGTATTGTATTATAGAGCCATAGTTTTCTTTGACCTCAAATCTTAATCTAATCTTACCTAATAAGAACTTAATGTAACCTAACGACTATGTTACAGCTGATTCCGGACCAACAAGTACAGGATATCTTTAACACTAGTTATCCCACTCGATGAAAGGTTTAAGATGCATTATCTTACCGTAAGGTTATCTGACCTTGAAGTTATCCTATTTTGAGGTTATCTTACCTCGAGGTGATTCCTAGGATCAAGGTCCCTGCGGCCCGGTCTCTAACCAGCCTTGCTGTTTGGTGGTCGGGGTCAACCAGGCTGTTCGACGCCGCCGCTTGCAGTCTGTCTTCCGCGAACTTCTTTTCCTTTTGTTAAAAAGAGTTCAATTTAATCCTTAAATATGATCCTCTTTCCCGTAGTTCAAAGTAACATTTTAAAGCAAACTTTATACACCGAGTACATATATTTTTATCTGATATTCACCTTTCTAACTTGATATATGAGTGCAAGTTTTACACTGAATATTGCAGAGTGCAACTTCTGTGAGTGGGTTTGGAGGCAGAGAAAACGACATCATGTTCACATTAAATAATTTACGGATTTACAATTTATTTATTAAATTGAATTTAATATTCAAAGAATTATGCCACTGAAATTATCTTTTGCGCATTTCTTGTAACACGGATACAGGTCTTCTGTACAATATTCAGAATTCCCTGTGGAGCAGTGGTGGTGTGCTGGACCCACACTTCGTCAACGCTTTTGGCTGGGTTCGAGCCCTGAGGCAGGAGGATCGATTGGATACCAATCCTTAACTAAATCGCCACAGCTGTTTACCCAGCAACCTTAGAGGACCTGGTGGTAAACCAATTGGCAAGTTGTGTTCCAGACCAAGCTTGAGAGGTATGGCTTAAGATGAGCTATGGGAAGGGAAAGCATAAGGAGTCGTAGGACATGAGCTTAAAGTTCTAAGCTCCTTTATTAACATGTAAACAAAAATATAATTTTATATTTTAATTGTAAACATTGTGAATAAGATGACAAGTCCAGTGATGTGTGTGCAAACGACACACTGTAATACAGTTCTCTAATAAATTACTATCTTAAAACAAACAAACAAACAAACACATGCACACGAGGACAAACACAGAGCTCGCGCGCGCGTGCTCACATTGTCGTTGTAAACAACGACAGAACATTAACACGAACCTGGGTACACAAAGTCCAGAATTATATCATTTAATTATAGTAACGAACTCAAATGACCCTCGGGTACATTTGTACAAACTTCTCCAGTGCAACACTAGTCAATAAATGGTGCTGATGGAGCCAGTGTGGCGCCGAACACGGACCCAAATGGAGAACTGAATCCGGATACGAAGATACTAACATACGAGGACACTGTAACATGCCTATTGGTCCATGCACGAGGCATCTCCTATTTGCATCAATCAAAACAATTCATATCACAAGCAATATATATACAAAACTTCAAACTTTTCATCACACATTATTATCTTAATTCAATTCCTGTTAGATTGTTACGGTTTACTGAGGATTTAACATCTGTTTAGTTGCAAAATTTTAGTCAAACTTATACGGAAACTTGGGGCAAGATTCACGAAAGCAGTTACGCAAGCATTTACGAACCTGTACATCTATTCTCAATCTTTAGTGGCTTTGTTTACAATTATTAAACAGTTAATGAGCTCCGAAGCACCAGGAGGCTGTTTATAACAATAACAACAGTTGATTGGGAAGTTTTCATGCTTGTAAACTGTTTAATAAATGCCCGAAATGCCCGAATAATAAATGCCCTGCCCGAAACGCTGCGCGTACTAGTGGCTTTACAAGAGTGTAAATACTGTACTATGCTATGTATTCTCACAAACCCAATGTACCTTCTTGCATATAAATAAATAAATAAATAAATAAATAAATAAATAAATAAATAAATAAATAAATAAATAAATAAATAAATGTAACCAAAGCCGTCAAAGATTGAGGAAAGATGTACACGTTCGTAAGTGCTTGCGTAAGTGCTTTCGTGAATCTGGCCCTTAGTCTGTAAGTCAACCTCCAGCTCTTCATAACAGCGGATCTTTTTTCATTCAGAAAGGTCAAAATCCAATTGTTAATTTAGCGCCATGAATGTGTGCCAACATTCATGGGCGCTATATAATACACAGTACCGTCATTTGATCAATTTCTGTTCAAAGGTGGACGTGAGGTTGGTCATTGTCACCATGGTAACGGGAAGATAACCCAAAGATGAGAGGAGAGATGAAGAGCAGCATCCTGTATCAGCTATGAGCAGCTATCCTCAGACGTATACAGTGTTCACTGTATATGCGATGTAGGAACATATTGCATGTACACATTTCCTATGATATCTCATGTATCACTCCAAAATAAAGAAAATGCACATAAACTTATCACCCCCTAGATAGATGCACTTCTGTCCCAGATGCACAGGTAAATCAGATGCCCGAAACACTGTGCATACTAGTGGCTTTACAGGAATGTAAACACATCATGCTATGTACTCTCAGAAACCCGATGTTACTTCTTGTATATATATAAATAAATAAATAAGATAATAGATCAATGTAGGCCCCCCGACGAATTCAAAGAAAACGTTAAACTTGACACGGCAGCTAACCGACCCATCGTGAGCATCACAATAACAAGCCACGGGTGTTGTTCATCTCTCACGTGCTGGTGAAAGCTACTGAATGAGTGATGCTGTAGAGCGATACGTCGCTGTTGGTAAGAGGTATTCCTAAATGTGGGTGAATGTGACAGTGAAGGCGTCAGATCACATGAGTTACTAATTCCAGGTTTAACCTTGAGCCGACGTTTTGATACTTAATCGGCATGGGAACCGCCGGCCAAGGAAACGCAATTATTGTCGTCTGGCATTCCTCTTTATCGACCCACTATATAAGACTCTAGAGTCACAGAGATTTTTTTCATTTAAAAAGATGACTTTTTAGGCATTAGAGCAGTGTCTAGCGGGTTACAAGTCACATCTTACACAAGACGATTTGGAAATAGATTTTTAAATTTGCCTAATCTTAACAAACGATTTTTAAAGTCTATCTAACCTTAACCAACAGATTTTAAGACCTACCTAACCCAAACTAATCTAATCTAACCAGACTCCTGGCTCAATCTTGACAATGAGCAGATGTCCTGCCTCATATGAGGGAGGTCAGGTGAGATACCTGCCTCACCTATGAATTTATACTTTGGGACTCAATAGTATCTTCAGGTATTCCTATTCAACGGTCCAGATTGTCACAATATCTGGTGCACTTAGCTCCTGGGGGTCACAGGGAAGTTGATAGGGTTTCCATTTTCTGGCTTTGGTTCTTCAGGCGGAGCGACAGTGTCTGGCACCAGCTTGGCTGAGAGGTGCCAGTTGGTAGGTCTTGGTGGGCTCTTGGTGTGCCCTCTGGGCATAGTGGGCAGCTGGTTCTTGCATTGCTAGTGGGCACTAGAAGAGGTTTTTGTGTTATGGCCCATTTGGGTACAAGATTAGGAAAGAGCTATGTTTATGCATTGACTTTGTTTGGCTACCCAATGTTCTCTGTGGTGGAGGTGGGTTTGGGGGTTGCTGGTTCTTGCCCTCCTGAGGGACTCCTTTGAGCTCTACAAACATCTGCTTATCGCTGGTTATTTTCTGTAAGGCACATTCTATTCTACTGACAGGTGACATTAATAAACTGAATGTTGTATTATAATATCTCGGCATTTATAGATTTCTCAAGTAGGCAGTGGCATGTCCTTGTAACCCCTATGAGTGAAAAACATCTCCTGTTTTGTGTCCTGTATTGTAGCTAATGTACATTTTGACTGTAGCAATTATAATGGAATTAAATTTCCATTTTACTGAAAATTTATGACACAAATGTGGAGTAAGCTGCTAATTGGACGAAGCAACAGCAGTCATTTGATTTCCGGACATTGAGGTGAAGGAGGATGGAAGGCTATCCCTCCTCTTCCACCCTCACAAGAAACTTTGGTGAGAAAGTTTTATCATTTTGCATGTTTGGTTTCAATAATGATTGTATACATACACTGTAATTTTATTCCAAATTGTTTGCTAATGGTCTCTTATCATAGTCAAAATGAAGAATGCATATTAAATTAATTCTTGTGAATATTTACATTGAGACTGGTTGAGTTTGTGTAAATCCTAGGTATTATACAGTGGAACCTCGGTTCTCGTATTTTTCTGTACTCGTACTCAATTTCTCCAAAAATTTTAATTCGGTACTCATTATTTGCCTTGGTTTTTGGAGTGTTCATACACGTACGAGTCCACCGTGAGCGTGGCACTTCAGTTTACCAGTGTCTCCCGCTTAGTGATGGTCGCGCTTGAATTCTTTGTGAAAAATTTCATTGTTTTTGTGCTTTTTTAGTTTCTGAACATAAAAGTTCTTATTATATATCATGCTATGGGTTCCAAGAAAGTCAGTGGTAATGTTCAACCTAAAAAATAGTTGTGAGCATGATAATAGAAGAAAAACAAGTGATCATTCATAGTGAGACGATGTGATGTCTCACTACAGATAAGTGTTAAAACATAGGAAAAAGCAAGTGTCTATTGACAGATTCTTAGTGAGATAAGCAAGAAGTGAGCAACAACCAGGTCGTAGTGGTATGCCTGCAAAACGTAAGAGAGAGAGAGTACCCCCAGAAATGTCATCACTGCTGTTATAATGGAAGGGTACTCCCCTTCCAAACACTAACGTCTTCTTTTCCCCCCTTCCTCACTGTCTTCCATACACCAACAAGAGTCCTCCATATAGGTAAGGTACCTTTATAGTATTATTCTGTATAAAATGTAATTTTTAGTTAATATATTTGGGGGTGTGGAACGGATTAATTCAGTTTACATTATTTCTTATGGGAAATTTGTTTCGGCTATGTTTGTTATTATGAAATTTGTTATGGCTATTATTATTATTATCATTATTATTAATATAACACAGAGAAATTGCATTAACATGATATATTAAAGCACAAGTCCACAGTAGCCTTGATGAGAGGTTTGGGAACACTCAGGGCATAGGTTCGAACTCTCGTCAAGACTCCTGTGGATTTGTTCATTATTATTATTATTAATATTATTATTATTATTATTATTATCAAAATACAAATGATAGTCTTGTTGTGAACTCTTATTCTACATGAATAATTACAATGCCAAAATGACCTCTACATAAGAATAGAAAATATAGCATATAGCTGACACAAAATTAATCTCATGAACTCCAAGAAACAGTTATTGTAGTTAAAAGAATTTATTTTGCAGACAAAAAGTATATTAAACCAGACTCCTTGGTGCAGTATACTTCCCAAGTTCACTACATAAAAATCATTACATTATGTAAACTCTAAAATACAGAATAAGGGATTTACAAGTGCAGCATGAACTTGGACATATATTATTTATAATTACCAAGACTATGAGTTATTTCAAATGAAGTTTTGAGTCGTTACCTCTTCTCTCCTCCCCCCAATGTTTATATTATAAATAAAACCACAATAAACACAGGTAGTTTCCCTAACCTCGATATATTCTACATCACACCCGTAAATGTAATCTTCAATATCAGAACACACTTTACGATTCTCAATCACTCGTGGCGACTCAAACATGGCCAGGTTTGAAAAAACTAAATTACAGTACAATATATCCTAAATATTCATGATGATCCTACATATAATAATTATAGCACCACCACCGGTCGAGGGAGCCGGTCGGCCGAGCGGACAGCACACTGGACTTGTGATCCTGTGGTCCTGGGTTCGATCCCAGGCGCCAGCGAGAAACAATGGGCAGAGTTTCTTTCACCCTATGCCCCTGTTACCTAGCAGTAAAATAGGTACCTGGGTGTTAGTCAGCTGTCACGGGCTGCTTCCTGGGGGTGGAGGCCTGGTCGAGGACCAGGCCGCGGGGACACTAAAGCCCCGAAATCATCTCAAGATAACCTCAGATAACCACAACTAATTGAACATTATATGTATGTAAAGAAGCAGACGTATATCATAGCATCATCGATAAGGGACAAATCCTCGGATGTTTGGGAAAACAAAAATTCTTATGTTTCAGTTCCAACAACAGCAGAGATTCTAATTGTTTTTGTCATATTGCCCTATTCTGGTTCACAATGCGTTAGCTAGGTTTCTATATTTAGCACTTATTATTTAATGTTGATTTCAATCATACAATGTACTTTTCTAAGTTTATACCCAAAAATAGGGTAATGTTTTATAATTTCAAAGACTTCTCTCACACAGAAATACGAGTTGTGCATGTGGGGATGAGCTATGCCCCTGGGGGTACTCCACTGGTGCTCTTCTCAAACATAGTACGTACGTTAATCCCGATATTTTTGTTATAACTTTTGATAGGTTTTAATGTCATAAGTAAGAATTAAAGATCCAACTAGGTTTATTTTTTACAATACAGCCTTGTGCTGTAGCTGCTTCTAGCACTATAACAGCTTCAATTGTTTTATTTCATTTATTTTTTATTTATATATACAGGAGTTCTTACATTCTTGTAAAGCCACTAGCACGCATAGCATTTTGGGCAGGTCCTTAATCATAATTTTTCCCAAGAATACGACCCGCCAAATAGTTTAACAACCAGGTACTTATTCACTGCTGGGTGAACAGAAGGCCACAGTTAAGGATTGGCGCCCAGTCAATCCTCCCAGGCCAAAGTGCTCACAAAACGCCAGGTGAGTGTTTTACCACTTCACCATAGGGACTTGCTTTTGTATTTTTTTTTTTTTTTTTAGTCATTTGAATTTTATTTTGTTTTTACATAGCTGGGTCCACTCTTCATTGACAAAACATATGGTTGTTTTGCCAATGAAGGTCCTTGTCTCGTGCATCAAGACGCACAAGAAAAGGCGACAGTACCCGCCTTGTCTTGCGAGGCACTGGCAGAGCCACTCCGGTTTGCTTTCGGTTTTGATGTTTCTTCTGCACCGTGGTGAGAGCTGTCTCGGGCGTTGTTTGCCTCCGGCCTGCTCATGTGCCGCCTGAGCCGTACTGGTCTTTGGACGAGGTGCTCTCGTTTCTGTCTTCTCCCAACATGTCCTCTTTAAAAACAACGTCGCTTTTGGCCGTTTACCCGTATGGCCGAAATTGGACGTAATTTGAAAATGAAAATAAATTTGGGATTTTTTTTTCAACAACAGTAAGTTAAGGGTCCTCTGGTAGGTTAGGTGGGCAGGAAATTCTCAAAAAGTTTCAAATTTTTATGAAAAATATTAATTGAAAGTTTCCTCTCCTAACCTTTCCAAGTAGGCCGGATGACTCAAATAGAAAACGGGACAGTACGTCACTTTTGTGAGTCGATTTCATTTCAAATTACATCCACTTTTGGCCACAGCCAGCATACGAGCGAAAAGCCACATTTTTTTTAGAGGACGGGTTACTTCTCTTCGGTTTGTTGTGGCCCCTTCGGTTCAGGATTGTTTCTCTAAGGCTTTTTTCCTGTTGGCATTGGCTTCTGGGGATCGGGTTGCAGAGCTTCATGCTCTTCACCGGCGCAGGGGTTTCTGCTCTTTTGGTCATGGTGAACGGTTTGTTCGTCTGCAGCCATCTCTCTCTTTTCTTGCGAAGAAAAGACTGCTGCTTTACGGAGGGGTCCTTGGCTTGTTGATGCTTGGTTAGTCAGGCCGGGGTGCATCATGTGTTGTGTCCGGTTGCCGCCCTCCGCCGTTATTTGCGCACTATGGCTTCTGTGTCTGGGGACGCGCTTTGAGTTGATCTGATTTCCCTTCTTCCCTGTTCGCGGGTACGGGTCTCTCTGGTCGTCCACAAGGTTATTACGTCTAGCAAGCCTGCGGTCTATCCCCATGCCCATGACGTTCGTAAGTTTGCTGCTCTTGCTGCCATCTTTGGTTACTTGTCCTGGGCTGCCATTCGGGCACGGGGTTTTTGGCGATCGAACAGGGTCCTGGCTGCACGCTACCTCGTTAACGTTCCTGGGCCAAGTTGGGCCTGTGTCACTTTGGGTCGGCAATTGCAGCCTGTTGTCTCAACTTCGAGTTGAGTTGAGCAACAGTACCTTTCCATTTCATTTTTATTTGTAACGAGAGCACCACTCGTTTGTCTCAACTTCGAGTTGAGATGTAAGCACTGACCATCTCCCGGGTAGGTCCCCTTTCTTTCCTTTTCGTCTTTGGTGAAGTAGCTCCAGGGAGCCGAAGGGGCTCCCCCACAGAAAACCAGCATTGAATGTAATGAAACTGTAATCAGTAAACAAACACCATCCTGGAAAAATGTCATGGGCATCCCTCTTGGGTGTGAGGACCTCATTATTGTGAGGGCAACCATGAGTAGTGGCTCACAGCTCTACCATGTAGCTTGTTCCCACAACATCACTTAATAATGATGAAGTAAAATAAATAATTGCAATTATTTTGTAATGATGCTGTCAGAGAAGATCCTGACTGTGATGAAGACTGTGTATAAGGTTCAGATATCAGTCAACACAATGCTGGTTATAATATTCACAGCAGTAGGCAGACATAACACATGCCACGGTTTTGTGCATCTACACATTACAAAACTGGCCCTTGTGTTCCTTTAGAAAATAGACTTCAGGAAAATGATTCATATACACAATTTAGTGATAGGAACCTGATAATAATAGCAGTGCTATGACTACAGAGTTAGTGATGTGCATAGGATATTGGAGGCATTTTGCTGCATCAGGTGGCATCATTTTGATAATTAGTTTTTGTTGTTTAATAGCAATAGTGTATAATGTAGTTGTAATTAGATGTATGATTAATCTATTGTTTTTACTTTTCTCCTGCAGATTCAAGATGAAGCACAAATAACAAATAGGTACAGAAGTACTGGAGGTTGTTATAACAGCACTTCATATATAACATGAAAATCACATTGCACAGAGGTTGGGATTTGCTTCCTTTAAAAAAAAATCCAAATTAATGCAAGCAATGTTTCTTCTTAGAAGATATACTGTACCAATAAACGGTTCTAAAACACTCGATGAGCTAATTCATGCAAACTAAAATATATTAATACAACCTACTGAAGAACCATATTTAAGAGCAGTAGTAATGAAATTAAGTGTTTGGTATTGCTGTAATTTTCCACTTAATTAATGTATTTTTATTGATTTTATATTATGTAGAAGGAATTTCCCTTCACATGGGTATTTTGAAAACAAGACAATTGTCCCACATCTCAATATTTTTACATATCCCTGCCCCATAAAGAGCACTCATAGTATGGTGTTAAATCAAATTGTCATAGTGTGCTGAAAGTTATATTACCCTATATCATCTAGCTCACCCTAACATCAAAAGTAGTGTATATACACCGTCAACACATTGTGTCAAAATGTACAATAGAACTGCTGCTTTAAAGACAAAATTTTCTTTCGTAAAGCACCATCAAATGTTTACATACATTTGCTAATGCTCAGTTCTGTAGCGCAGTGGTCTAGGTCACTGGCTCACAACCAGCAGTCCCTGGTGTAATTCTTGCAGAGAACAGAAACATTTCAACGTGCTTCCTTCATCCGATGCCTCGGTTCACCTAGCAGAAAATAGGTACCTGGGAGTTTGCCAGCTGTTGTGGGCTGCATCCTGGAGGAAGTCAGTAGGGGGATCTCACTAAGCCTATGTACAGGCTTCTTGTCCTGGACAACTGTAAAACATTTAACAGCAGTTAAGCATTAATGGAAGTAAATACAATTATGTAAATATAAAGTTAGCTTTATATTGATATATTTGTTAGTTTATACTGTATCGAGCAAAAAAAAATCATCAAACAAATACATGTATATCATCCATGTCTGAATTGCTGCATTTGTAGTCCATTCTTTTGATAATTACATTATTTACATAAGTGATATCACAAAATGGAAGTTTATGCAGAAGAGCAATCTCTTCAGCATTTAGAGGACTGTGAAGAATATGTGACACAATCTGACAAAGTAAATAATGTAAGAAAATTACAGTGCCCACATTGTTTACAAGATTTTACAAATAAAGCTGCTATAATATCACATATGAAAACTCATACAGATAAGGGTAAGATTCAGTGTTTGGAGTGTCATAAAAGCTTTAAATATAGAAGTGGTCTTGAGGAGCACATTAGAATTCATAAACATAAGAAACCATTTCAGTGTTCAGTTTGTCAAAAAGCCTTTACACAGAAAGGCACCCTAACTATACATATGAGAAGTCATACTGGAGAGAGACCATATGAATGTCCTGTGTGTTTCCAAACTTTTTCTCGAGCAGCATACTTAGGAATTCACTCGAGAGTTCATACTGGTGAAAAACCATTTCACTGTACAGAATGTCCTAAATGCTTTTCACATAAGATTTCTCTGAAAACACACATGAGAATTCATACAGGAGAGACGCCATTTCATTGTACAGTGTGTCTTAAAAGCTTTAAATGCAGAACTGATAAAGATAGACACATGAGTACTCATACTGGAGAGAGACCATTTCATTGTGCAAGGTGTCTTAAAACTTTTACTCGAAAATCTTTCCTTAAATCACACATGTTAGTCCATTCTCAAGAAAGACCATATAAGTGTTCAGATTGTGTTAAAAGTTTCAAACGGAAACGTGAATTAGACAGCCATAAGAAAACTCATACTAAAGTGAAACCATTTCAATGTCCAGAATGTCTTCAGTACTTTATTAGGCGATTGCATTTTAATAAACATTTGAGAGGTCATATTGGGAAAAAAAGGTTTCAATGTTCAGAGTGTCTTAAAAGCTTTTCAACCAAATTTGAAATAATAAAACATTTGAAAGTTCATTCCGGAGAAAGGCCATATCCTTGTTTACTGTGTTCACAAACATTTACATGCAAATATAGTCTTGACAAGCATATAAAACTTCATTCTGGAGAAAGAGAATTTCAATGCTCTAAATGCCATAAAGGTTTTATATATCAGTATCATTTAGTTAATCACATGATAAATTCACACTAGAGCAAAACACTTTCAATATTGCAATAATCTTTTATAAAGGTCATATAATAACATAAAAATATTACATAAAAAACACTCTACATTGATTCTTGGTGGAATGGATATCTGTATACCGGAAAGTTAGATGCAACGAAAGAAGTGTTTCGGTACAGTGATGCAGATGTAACAGAATATAACAGTAGTGTTCCAGTGTAGCAAGCCTGTGCATTATCTGGACCATTATTGTGTGCCAAAGAACGTAAAAGAACAGTAACAAGCTATTTAAGAATGCACTTTTTTCGAGCGACTGTGGTATTATTATGCATTTTAAAGGTGTGTTCTATTGTTTACACTTAATAAAAATGTAATGATGTTTGGTATTAAGTTGCAAATTTTGGATGCAACAGCATTTTAGATATAGAAATACTGGATGGGTACAAATCTGTTTGAGTTGAAATATGCTGTATTTCAGCATCCAGCATAAAGCATTTTAAACAGAACTATTTATCATGTTAAACTTTAACATTAGACAAAGTAATATGAGCACATGTATTTTCTGGTATCTGGTAAGTTAGCTAAAATAGCACTACATAAGCTGTCATGAAATTGATCTTTTTAATGCTGTGTGACATAACTACAGTACTTTCTTTGTAAATGAGACATAAAGTAAACTTGTTCAATTACTGTACTTAAGATGTTCTGTACAATACTCAGAGTGTACATCTCAAGATTACAATAATTGAAAGTTGAAAATGTTTTATTACTGACTTCCCAAACTGCTTCAGTTTCAATTTAACATGAGAAGGTCCTTTAGCATCTTGCAGTGCTACAGTTATTAAATCATATGAGTTTAATAAGGTTCATAAAATACTACATTTTTTAGTAAAAACCAAATTAACCCTTTGAGCAACCATGGACTAAAAATTAACTGTAGAAGATTTTTCAAGAACAAATAAATATGTATAAGTCTAGTTTAAAGAATTATTTGGATTTGTGAAAAGACCAACTGTTTCAACTTTGTTTTATAATGTGAATACCATTTGCAGGCGATGAGTCACAATAACGTGGCTAAAGTAAGTTGACCAAACCACACACTAGAAGGTGAAGGGACGACGACGTTTCGGTCCGTCCTGGACCATTCTCTAGTCGATGGAATTCATTCTCAAGTGAATACCATTGTCTTGTACATTCTCGACTGGAAAACCTATATTCACATTGTTATGAAACAATATTAATGGAAGTTTAGTGATTAAAAATTGCATTTTTTAAACTATAGTAGTTAGTCTTTATCTAGATAAAGGTAATGTCAGTAAATTCTTGAGTTACAAGAATCTAAACCTTGTGCTGTACTGTGTCTTCATAAAATTGTTAATGTGTTGATTTTGAACACCTTGCCTCAGTTCAGATCTCACTTTACTCTCAAAAAAAAAATATATAATTGTTTCTTGATACCATTGTGAATATGTTTTATTTCTATAAACCCTTAAGTGTGAAGGTTTATAGGAGGCATAAAAGCCAACTTTTTTGCTCAACTGCCTGAGTTTGTCATTTGAGTTTGTTACCAATTGATGGCAGCATTTGTTAGGCCTGTTTTGAAAGTCAGAAGACCTGTTCAAACATTACATTACATGGAATTTTTTTTTGTCTATGCACCTTGATGTCATTCATAGCATTTTCAGCCCATTTTTCTTATGGTGACCAGTACTAGCCTAAGCAGCAAAAGGATAAATGTGATAGATAACATTGTAAAGTGCGCAATAGTTGTACGTAATAAAAAATGTGGATTCGTTTTGGCTAGCCTTGTTACCAACAAGCCAAATAATATGTATCACATATTTGAGGTCATTTTCACTGCATAAATTTAACTATGCTATTTTCTTATACTGTCTATAATAAAATGGCAGAAGAAATACCTTTATTATGTGAGAAACATTAAATTTATGTTAATACTGTGTTAGATGATTATTCTAGTTTTGGTGAATGCACTGTATTCACACTGATCCATGTAAGTTACTTTGAAATAATTGTTCTGAAGGGGACGTGATTGCTATATTATTGACTATTGTCTTTTACATTGTAAATTGTATTATTATTGTTTTTTAATGATATTGAAATATATTTATTGTATATTTTTTGTGGTTTGTAATAAAACAAAAACTTTTTTTCATGTGTTTATGAACTTCATAATATTCTACATTATACATTAGCTAAATTACTTATAAATTTCTACATTAAATGTTAACTAAAATTACTTATAAATATGATGGACAGATGCATTTAGACTAATGGATATTGTACATCAGATGCATTAGTGTTCATCGCTTAAAAGGAACTTAAAAGTACAGTACAGGAAAACTACTTTTAAAAAACCCAGACCAGTTTATTTCAATGTTTGTATTTAATGCCATAAACAGTCTAGATTTTTAGGTACATTTTGAGAGTTGAAAACAAAATTAGATAACTTATTTTTTGTTATTTTTTTTTTTTTTACTGTCAATTATGAATAAATATCTGGCATTAATAGTGAGTCTACATTTTTTTCCTTTGAAAACCAAAAGTAATCAGAATAATTAAGTATCAATAAAGTTATATAGTTAAAAAAAGATAAAAATTTTGAGTTTTAATTAATGTACTGCATTTTTGGCAGAAAAAAGTAAATTTCATAATTGTTTAAATTTATGTTGATCAACACATATGTTTTTAAACAGTTTTAGATTCAGCTGCTCGGAAAAAAAGTTTCAAGTGGTACGGGCTATGGTGAGCCCATAGTGGACTTACCTGCCACAGGAATGGGGGAAGTAGCACGGGCTATGGTCAGCCCATAGTGGACTTACCTGCCACAGGAGCGGGGCAAGTAGCACGGGCTATGGTCAGCCCATAGTGGACTTACCTGGCACAGGAGCGGGGCAAGTAGCACGGGCTATAGTGAGCCCGTAGTGGACTTAGCTGGCACAGGAGCGGGGCAAGTAGCACAGGCTATGGTGAGCCCATAGTGGACTTACCTGCCACAGGAGTGGGGCAAGTAGCACGGGCTATGGTGAGCCCATAGTGGACTTACCTGCCACAGGAGCGGGGCAAGTAGCACGGGCTATGGTGAGCCCGTAGTGGACTTACCTGCCACAGGAGCGGGGCAAGTAGCACGGGCTATGGTGAGCCCATAGCGGGCTTTGTTTTTATCCAATTTTTAAGAAAATTTCACACAACATATAAATTAATAGGCTTTACAAAGTTACAAACTTGTAATATGGAAAAAATTAGAATCCCATAAATATTTTTATTAATATAAATTTGATCTCTTAATAATAAATATTTTGCCTTTGTAAATTAAATTGAGCTTGTTTTTCCATTGATGCCGAACAAATGACTGTAGTAATATTAGTTTAAACAGTTAGCAGAAAACAAAAATACTTGTTTAACTCTTCATAGTATAAACACATTTATGTTTTAAAGGCTAAATACCAAAGAGATATAAATCTGTCAATTTGGCTCAATGCCCATAATTAGCGCTCTGTGAGATTCGCTATATAATACTGTAAACAGTTACAGATCCATCTTTTCCCAAACTAAAATGTTCACTTGACAAATGAAGACTAATCAATATCTGTAATGTGGTAGCAGCGGGCACATGGTGACCTGCAGTTCTGTGTTATCGGTCCTATTTAGACATTGATTAGGTTACATTAGGTTAGGTTAGGTTAGGTGTTTTGGTTCTGTTGGCGATTATTTGAATTTGTAGTACGTGGGTGAAGCATTTACGGCGTTGTGGTTCGAATAAAATTCGTCAGTGAAACACTTGTTCCGAAAGTGTTCGAACGTCAACAGTTGTGAGTCGTGTGTAAACCGTTCTTCATTCATAAACAGGGGGTTTGGCGGATGCATGGAATCACTTTTAGGTCTTTGTTTCGAGGACGGGCTGACTCACAACTGATGACGTCCGAACACTTCCGGAACAAGTGTTTCTCTGCAGCCCGTCCTCCAAACAAAGATCCAAAAGTGATTCCATGCACCCACCAAACCCCCTGTTTATGAATGAAAAGTGGTTTACACACGACTCACAACTGCTGACGTTCGAACATATCCGGAACAAGTGCTTCACTGACGAATTTTGTTCGAATCTCAACGCTCTAAATGCTTCACCCACGTACTACAAATACAAATAATCGCTAACAGAACCTAAACACCTGACCTAACCTATCCTATGCCTATATATACACAATATGTCAATATATTATAATATTAATTTATACTTGAGAAAATTCCCGTTTTGAATGAACAGCATGTTAAAATTTATGAATGCGTCTGTGGGGTCGACCGCTGAATGTAATGGACTTGAGTCGAGGACGGGTTGTTCTCTGACGACTTTTGTTCGAACCACAACGCTGTAAATGCTTCACCCACGTACTACAAATACAAATAATCGCCAACAGAACCAAAACACCTAAAGTAACCTAATCTATGTCTAAATATGCATAGTATGTTAATATATAACAATATTAATTCATATTTAAAAAAGTGATATTTTAAATGCATGTTAACATTTATGAATGCATCTTTGGGGTCGACCGCTAGATGGAATAACTTGGTCTGAGGACGGGTTGGGCTATTTGGGTGCTATGATTTGACTGGTGACATCCTCTGCTTCACGTTCTCAGCTAAGTAATGATGGCTATTCCTTGATCAGTGTTCTGCATGGAGGCCATTTCCTTATTATTGATAACTTTATAATTCTCGATTGTATCGTTATGGCCCAACATACATTGTGTGCCTAGTCATTGTATTTCGCTACAACTCTGTTCCAGGATTACTTTCCTCTCAGTGCAAGTTGATGTAAGTATATTAAAAAAATACATCCCGAAAGGATAGAGTAGCGTAAAATGATTGATTGATGAAGATTAAGCCAGCCAAGAGATGGCACGGGCATGATTAGCCCGTAAAGTAGCCTAATTAAGCTATTCTACTCGCCTATAGAGGGATCACAGTCATCGCGACAGGTAAGGAGGAGGTCGAGGGTGGAGTCCGTTGGCCCGTCTGTGTTCAAGTATGTTAATGAGACAAGAAAAAATATATCTCAAAGGAATAGAGTAGCTTAGGCTATTTCTACCCTCCCTAGGCCGTCTGTGTTGACGTCAGTGGAACAGATTATGTGAGCATGAAAGTCGTAACTCGGAGCTTGCGTCAAGTCTCCTGTGATAAGTGCCGCTCAGACCTGGTCTTATCAAGCAAGACAGATTTATAACCTTAACGCCAGACAGGCAACGTAAATCATATGAAAATCTTTTTACAGGAGTGAGGTAAAAAAAAAAACAGGTTTACCTATGTGAAACTTTTATGACGAAATACGCGCAGCCAAGACCACCAGATAATGCCATATTTTTTTTGGCTGTCAAATAATTTTACCAAGAAATTTCTAGGTAACATTGACAATAATTTAAGAGGGACGTATTATTATTCTCGAACCTCGTGTTTATCATGGTCATAACATTTTTCATGTAGGAAAAGTTGGGGGGGGGGGGCGTGTCTCTTCCCTGGTTTAGTCGCAGCCTAAATACAAAAATATATAAACACGGCTGTTAGCTGCAAATATTTATATATATATATATAAGTGACAATGTGGGAAGAGATTATATGTTCCATATAATCAAACATATAATCATATATAATCTCTTATACATAACATATAATCTCTTCCCACATCCAAACCATCGCCAGAGAAATCCTAGTAAACAACACAGAAATCATCGATAGATACAGCGATAGCAGACGACTTGACGTTTGCGAGGCACTGCACATTAAGAAGTCAACACCAGCAATCAACAGCCAATTAATGCACAACTATATTCTACCCACCTCAAGACTCCGCTCCAATATAAAAGCATCAAGAAATATGGACTAATAGGCTTTCTACAATCACTTCCATTTCAATACCCATTGTTTTGTGTTCCGTCTTGTGTTGATGAAATTAATACCCTATTAAATACCACCTCACCCCATCCACCTCACTCAAATGTAGATATAAACAAATCGGAGATATGTAAGTTCTATTCAGTTGTGTATGTGTAAAGTCTTTGAAAATGTAATAAGTTTTACGAAACGCGCTCAAGTGTCGCGTCAGACTAGAAATAAAAATGAATTTTGGAGAATTGATTTTTGAATTACCTCCAACAGTGAAAAGAAATGTACGAAAGATTGAGAAAATTCGTGTTAGAATTATTAATCTTACTTTTTCGGTCATATTTAATATATATATATATATATATATATATATATATATATATATATATATATATATATATATATATATATATATATATATATATATATATATATATATATATATATATATATATTCCGAATTGCCTAGATGGTCTGTCTGTCTCTCTTTTGTCCCTCTATATATCTCTATCTACCCATTAATCGTATCACTTACGATTAATGATCATTTGATCATTTCAATAATGGCGCTCGGGTTACCTGCCCCACCTCCCACCTGTGTCTCTCCTTTGCTCTGCCATAACCTTGTAAGTATTGTAACAAATCCCAACTAACAGCGAATGAACTAAGAACTAAACAATACACAATTCCCGAGAACTTTATGACTAAGAAACTGACGCATCGCGCGCACCGAAACTAGACAACACAAACCCGGTCTTTCTCAAAGTCAAAATCAAAGTTAACAATACTTTTATTCTTGTATTAAAAAGCACTCAAACCATCAAGCCAGAATCTATGTTGTCAACACTGTCCCCCGGGGTGAAAATTAT